GGGGGGGTGCGATAGAGGGAGTGTGTTCGTACGCAGCTCGTTGCAGTATTATTGTTATTAGAAGGAATGGCTTTCAAGGGGTTAAAGTGCCAAGTGTAGGAGTGTATTAGGACTCCACTGGTGTAGGGGTGATGGGAGCAGCCACCACCGCTGGCTCCAGCACGGGCTTTTCAGAGCAAAACGCAGGGGAACGACCCACCGGTGCCCGAGCGGCTCCTGGGGGCTGGGGCACGGCTGCTCCCGGGCTCCTGAGGCTGGTGGCAGGAGGGGACACGTGGCCCGTCTCTGCGGTGGCCGGGGCTGGGAGTGACCGGCGCGGTGGCCGGGGAAGAGCACAGTGAGATGAGCAGGGATGGGGAAGGCTGGAGCTTGGCACGGCGACGCCATCGGAGCTGTGTCCTTCCTGCTGCCCGCCAGCCCTGACCAGCAAAGGGTCCCGTGGGATGCGGGGTCCAGGCTTCACGTGTCCCCTGGGCTGCAGGACCATCTCCCCGTCCCTGGCAGAGCCACTGCTGCTGGGAGCCTGCCTTCCCGTGCTGCTCTCCGAGCCAGGTCTCCCCAACACCGCTGTAAGACCTTTTGGTCATCTCTACCCCCAGCCTTCCAGAGATGCTCACTCTTCTCCTCCTGCTGTTGCTCTCCCTGGGGTGGAAGGCGATGCCCTGAGCAGAATCCATACCCCAGGGCTCCTCTGGGCTCCTGGAGCCAGGAGCGTGGCGGTGGCACTGTGGGTCAGGGCTGTCCATGGCACGAGAAATGGGGCCTCCAGACGTTGGCGTAGGGCTCCGTGCTGCCCTGCAGGTCTCCTGCCCTCACCCAAGGCTCCAGCTCTTTGCCAGCTCCGGGCAGCAGAAGAGTTTCAGCCGTGAGAGTGACCCGTTGGCCGCGTCCCGTTCACCTCCCATCACCAGGACCTTCTCCTGAGCATCGGTGGAGCACAGTGGGCAAAATCCTCCAAACTCCAGGCGCCGGGTATGGCCGAGACGTCGAAGACGTGTGCGTGTGGATTCCCAGGGGGATGAACCCACCGGCCTCTTCCCCGTGGCCAGAAGGGGACGTGGGATACGGTGGAGGTCTCTGAGCCAGCACAGGGAGGGGGCAGGAGGGGAATTGTCTGCACAGAGCTGAGCCTTGCCTTGGTTTTTGGGCGCCGACGGCCCCTCCTGGCTGCGCAGCCGGCGTGAGCACCAAAGTGAGTGGCAGACAGCGAAGGCGGCGGGCGAGCTGCTCCCCCGGGATTGCATAGATCGGGGTGGGTCGTCACTCCGGCGAGAGGTCCGGCGGGTCGCAACTTTCCTGCCATATTCCTATTTACAGCAGCTCTGGGCACCCGGAGCTCCCCCGGGGGGGGGGACAGTCCTCGGGCCAGGCCACGGCTGGGCTTTGGGAGCACAGTGAAAAGCAGAGCGACGGCTTGAGGGGGGGTCCCATGGAAGCCCGTTTTCCGTCACTGGGGGAGCGCCGAGCACGGGCTGGGGGGGCCACCTGCTCCTTCCTACCTGATTGTCCGGGCTGCCGGGGACACCTCTGTTTTGGGGAGTCACCAGTAACTCCCTGGAAGCTCCAAATGGGGATGGGGTGGGACGGTTGGGCCCGGCGGCTGCTGGGGGGGGGTGAGCAGCAGCGTGTCCTTTCACTGGAGAACCCAAAGTGCTTTGGGGACATTCACTCAGCCTCGCAGCATCTCCCGGGAGGTAGGGACAGGGCTGTCCCCTGCGGGTGGCAAATGGCTGAGCAGGGGGTCACCTCCTCAGGGAGGGGGGGGCTGGCTCTCCCATCCTCGCTGGGGCTGGAGCGGAGCCTGTCTGTGGCCACCGGCCCGTTGTGTGCTTCTTCTGGGGGTCCAGGGCAGGGGCAGTGTGCTTTTGGGGTGGGGGGGGGAGGCACCGGCCCTGGGCTTCAGCTATTGCTCTCGGAGTGAAGGTACGGTCAGTGTGGCTGGGGGCCACCGCGGCGGGGGCTCTTTGGCTGGTGGGACGTAAGGGATTGTGGGGCACGGGGGGCTGGTGGGCAGCAGGGATGTCCCCAGCCAGCACGGGGCAAGCGTGGGGCTGGCAAAGGCACAGCCAGCCCGGTTCGAGAGGGAACTGCCAACCTTCTGCTTGTGCTGGGACCGCTCCTCCCAGTAAGAACTGGGCTGAGACTCCCCCCGCCAACAGTTCCCTTCCCATGGGGCTGGCAGGGACCGGCCAGAGGGATGCTCCCTCCATGGGGAGCTGCTGGCTCCTCTTATTCCACTCTGGGAACTGGGAAGGAGATGAATGAGAAACCAGTGGGCTGAGGACAGGCAGCCCCTGGCCACGAGACACAAGAGGGTCCCAGTGACTCGGGCACCGTCCTCCCCCCTGCTGTATGTGGGGCCAAGGGGGGAGCAGCAGGGATGGATGGTGGCGCTGGCCGGGCTCTGCCGGGGGATCTTGCTCCAGCAGGAGCCCACTTGAAGCCAAGGAGAAGCCAAGGTTGATGTCTACGACTATGGTTTCCCACCAGCCAGAAGAGCCACCTGCTCGGGGGCACCATCCCGCACCGGGCACCCCCCGGCACGGCCCGGTGGGCAATGGACAGACCCTCGGAGGGGCTCTAGTAGGGGGCGAAGACGATGGGGCCCGGTGTGGTGCGGACGTGGGCTGGCGGCGTCCGGAAAAGGGCTGGTCCAAGGATGGGGGCTTGGAAGAGGGTGGTGGCAGCGGCCGGTCTGAGGGCGAGGGGGCCAGGCATGGCACAGATGGCGGCCGTGGTGAGCGGGCTGGGCAGAAAGCGGGTGGCCAGGGTTTTGGTGAGATGCTTCTGCAAAGCCAGCTTGGACTGTGGGGAGGAGGAGACACACCATGAGCCCCCCAGTGAGCCCCCAGCTCCCCACATCAGCCCCAGCCCGTGCTTGCTCTCGGTTGAGCTCTCCCAACATCTTCCCAGTAAATCCAGCCCCAGCACAGGATGCCCCTGTCGTGGTGACCTCCCCTCAGCCCCACCACCCTGACCCAGAGACCTGCCCTGATTTTTTGCCCCCTTCCCTGCAGCCGTGCTCCCCTCTGGAGCCCTGGGATGATGTTTTCTGCCCAACTCTCACTGCGTGTCTCTGCAAACCAGCACCTCAGCCAGGTGTCACTGAGCCATGGCAACCTTAAGCACCCAACCATCACAGCTCCCCCATTCCAAAATCACAAGAAAGGTGGAAGAATCACCAGTGCTGCTGCACTCAAGCTATTCCCAGGCTTTCTTTCCCCACCACACAGACTGGGAACTCCCCCCACCCTCCCCTTGGACGTGAGGATGGGATCCGGGGCTTGAGGAGAAGCAGCCCCTGTATCTCGCTGTAGGTCGTGGCTGACACAGCACCCGGGGGCTCGGAGGGCAAACTGGGTGGGTGATTTGGCAGACAGGTACCTTGAGAATACTCACTGCGAGGGCAGCGTTCTTCTGCAGCTTGTTGTAGGGGCTGTACTTGGGCTTGGGAGGCTTCCCCGCCAGCCGGTCTTTGTGCCTCCGGCTGTTCATGTGCTGGGGGGGGAGAACAACCCCGTCACCCACAGCCAGGACAGGGGCCACCCATCCCCTTCTCACAGGAGACCACCAGGTACCCACCACCCTCCCGCCAAGCCCCCGGTGCCTGTGCAGAGGGGTCTGCACGCCCGTGCCCGGTGTCCCTGCACCCCCAAGCCCTGGTGGAGACCCACCTGTTTGAGCTGGGTCTCCGAGTTGACGTAGATCTCGCACACTTGGCAGTGGAACGCCTTGTTCTGGATGTTGATGCTGCCCTTGTTGCCGATCCGCTTGGATTTGTGCCCTGCCCGGGAGAGGAGCTTGCCTCGGCCTCGCCTCATCTGGGTGCTGTGCCCTTCCAGCATCGACTTGTGCTTGGCGCCTGGTGGCAGAGGGGACAGAGGGGACACTCACCAAACCCTGACCCTGCAAAAAATCCCCACACCGTGCCGAGTGCCACGGCAGCAGGAAAGGTGCCCTTAGAGCAACCTTTTCCATAGCGCTGTGTCCCCCCTGTCCCATGGGACCCCCATGTGTCCCCCTCTCCCCGTGCCCATCGGAGGGGACATGGAGCTTCCCAGGAGTCCAGACTCTTCCTGGGGATTTCACTGAATTTCACTGAATTTTTAGAGTTGGAAGGGACCATAGAGATCATCTAGTCCAACTCCCCTGCTGAAGCAGGATTGCCCAGAGCTTGTCAGAGCATGTTACTCAGGAGCATCCAGGTGGGGCTTGAAAATCTCCAAAGAAGGGGACTCCACACCCTCCCTGGGCAGCCTGTTCCAGGGCTCTGCCACCCTCACTGGGAAGAAGTTTTTCCTCATATTTGAGTGGAACCTCTTCTGTTCCAACTTGTGCCCGTTGCCCCTCGTCCTCTCACTGGGAACTGCTGAAAAGAGTCTGGTTCCCTCCTCCATCAACCCTCCCTTGAGATCCTTGTAGGCATTGATAAGGTCTCCCCTCAGCCTTCTCTTCTCCAGCCTAAAGAGTCCCAGCTCTCTCAGTCTTTCTTCATAAGGGAGATGCTCCAATCCTTGAATCATCTTTGTTGCCCTTCGCTGGACTCTTTCCAATAGTTCCCTGTCCCTCTTGAACTGGGGAGCCCAGAACTGGATGTAGAGGGAGAGAAAGACTTCCCTTGACCTGCTGGCCACACTCTTCCCTACGCAGCCCAGGATTCCGTTGGCCTTCCTGGCCACAAGAGCACACTGCTTGCTCATTGCCATTTTGCTGTCCACCAGGACCCCTAGATCTTTCTCTTCAGAAGTTATCTCCAGCAGGTCCACCCCTAATGTGTCCTGCTGCCTGTACTGGATGCACCAGCCCTTTCCCAAACCCTGCCAAGCCCTCAGGGCCAGCTGTGCTTCACGAGCAGACCAGAAATGCTCGGCTTCCCGGAGACATCCCCCCCCCCTCCTCCTCCTCCTCCTCCTCCTCCTTTTTCCTCCATCTCCATGTGCCAGACCTTCGGAGAAACTGCTATTTTAAGCGCGTTGCCGGAGCCTGGCGCCTTGTCCCCGGGCGCGAGCGCAGTCTGCAGCGCTGGGCACGCGTGGCCACCGCGCTGCGGCATCCGAGCCGTGCCCAAGGTCAGAGAGGATCCGGCCGCGGCGCCAGGAATAGCTCAGCAGGGCTGGAGGAGGCGGGGAAGGAGGAACCCAAAAATCCCAGCACACCTGGGGACAGGGCACTCTGTCCTGACCTTGCTGGGGACGGCGGGGCGGGGGGTGCGGGGGGCAAGTAATTTAAGCCACCAGTAATTAATTCTATTTTTTCCGGCGTTAAGCAAGGAGCCCGTGTCTGTGTGACAGCCACGGAGGAGCACGAGCCTGCAAACGTTTTGTTGGTTTGTTTGTTTGTTTGTTCTTTTCCCCCAAATCAGCTCCTGAATTTGTAACCGGAGCTGACAAAAGCCAAAGGACATGTTTGCAGCTAAGCCGCCGCGCTGTCCCGAGCCGACCCCTGTGCTCAGCAGCTCCTGCCACCCCTGCGGGCGCCTGGGGTTGGGGGAACTGGGGGGGAGGAACCTCTTCCCTTTAAAACTGGGGTGCCCGACCTTGTTTAGCATCCCCCAGAGAAAGGGGGGAGCTGGGAGTTGGTGCTGCAGGGCCCAGAGATCCCCCCACACCATGGCTGCTGCCCCCCACGCTGCCCCAGGGGGTCTGGTCACCCCCTCCGGGGGACCCTGGCCAGCCCCAGATGCCTGCCCACCCCAGGGGGCTGCCCCACGCAGCCACGGGCCATCGTTTGCCGCTGGGCTCCGAAGCTTGTTCGATTCCCCAGGGGCTTCTCCAAAGGACCAGGAGCCCAAAGCACTGAAGGGGCTTTTGGGGGGATGACCCCGGGGCTGACGGAGGCACCATCACTCAGAGTGCTATCAGCTTAAAGCCACACTGCAACGGAATATTAAGTAGCCTCCAATCACTTGATTAAATGTATCTGAAAGTGTCTTTAATTAAGGGGGACAAACAATAAGAGAGCGTTTGACCTTGCTAAAATTCACCCCAGAAGCCGCAGCGCAGGTAAAGCACGGCCACCAACCTTTACGAGCCACCTTAATTAACCCTTTTTAATTAAAGCAACGTTCACGAGGGGCTGTTTGGGGATGAGGCGTAGCGGGGCTTTGCTCGGGGCCCGGGATGGAGCCGCGAGGGGCCTGTGTCCCCCCCAAATTCCCACCTCCCCCCGTCCCCAGTGCGTGCGATGCCCTCACCGGTGTTGTGAGCCTCCAGCTGGGAGAGGGAGTTGACGGTGACTTTGCAGGTGGGACAGTAGAGATGCTGTTTGCTCTTCTTCCCCTCCTTCTCGCTCTCGGGGGCCGAGCTGACGCTGCCGCCCGACTCGGCCGCTGGCGCCTCGGCGGTGGGAGCGGAGGAGGAGGCCACGCTGGTGGCATCTGAGGTGCCCTCCGACAGCTCGGAGGCCGGTGGGGAGCCCAGGGGGGCTGTGCTGCCCGGCAGCTCCGACTGCGAGTCCTCGGTGCCAGGGGGTAGCCCCAGGCTGCTGCACTCACCCTCCGGCTCTGGCAAACCGTTGACTGGAGCTGGTGGCAGGGGAAGGAAAGTGGGGGGGGGGAAAGAAAGAAATGGGCAGAAATGGGCAGAAAAAGAAAGTTGTCTGTGCTTGAAATGGTTTTTTGGATTCCAGAGATCACCCTTGTCAACCCCAACACCCTCTTGGGCACTGGCTGATCCAAAGCCTCGGCTTGGGGGGATCTGCCTCCTGTCACCCTGAGCCCTCACCCGGGCATGGGCAGGGAACGCGTCCTCTCCTGCAGCCATCATCTCCCAGGGGCACCAAACCCCAGGGGAAACACCCGCCGTGAGGCTCCTGGGCTGGATTTCCACCCCTTCCCTGCAACCCTGCCCCTGGCCAGGCCCACCGGGGATGCCAGCGGAGCACAAAAGCTCATTTATTAGCATTTGTGCCACGCTAATCACTTCTCAGCCCCAGCAGCAGCCGACCGTGGGATGCTCCGACACCAGGCTGCTGCCGTCCAGGATTTAATGGGGCTCTTGAGGATGCTACAGGCACCACAGGGACGTGAACACAAATGGCACTGCACCCCCAGGAACCCTGCTGAGCCCCCTCCCGTCCCCCTGCCCCTACCTGTGCCCCCGGGCTCCCCGCTGCCATCGGGGCTGGGGGACAAGTCCCGGCCGGTGGGCACCGCCGCAGCCCCCGTCACCTTCTGCTTGTTCTTCATGGCCTCAATGGCTTTCAGCCTCCGCGCGTGCTTGTGGCCCTTGTAGTGGGCTTCTGCCTGGTTCTGGGGAGGGAGAGATGGGGGTGGTGGCATCGGTGCTGTGGCCGGACAGACGGATGGACACAGGGAGGATGGGTGATGGGGTGAGCCCCGGCCACGGTCACTCGGACACATTTCCAATGCAGCCACCTCCCCTGGTGACATCCATCCCCAGGGCCACCTCGGAGGTGGTATTTCTGGCCGGGGGCAGCATGAAGCCGCTTCCCCCCTCCTGCCAGACCCCCCTGCACCCCGGTGTATGGAGGTATCACTCTGCTGAGACATCCCCGCATTGCACGGCCGAGATAAGGACCCTGCTCTGATTAAATGCATCAAGTCACTCTTAAAAAAAGCAGCTTTCAGGCGCGATTTACGACTTCAGAAGCCTACAATGAATCGCTAGCTGTAAAAAAATAAAATAAAAAAAGGCAGCTTGGTGGGGAGGACACGTCCCCCATTGTAACCTAAGGGGTGTCTAACACGCAATTTACATTCCCGGGGCTCCTTTCTCCCAGCGACCGCTGCATAATGAAGTGCACGTTGATGGGTTCGTGCCTGCACCAAACTGATAAAAACCACACACAAAAGGAAATCACCCAAACATTGGTGGTACTCCGCAGTCAGGGGACAATGCCACATTGTCCCCCCCCCCAAAACAACTGCAGTTTAGCCATGTATGGAAACTAAATCCAATATGAATTAAGAGACTGTACCACTGAGCAGCACCGATTAATTTGCGTGGCGTTCTCAGAGGCCGGCCAAGGCATCCCGCTCTCGGTAGGAAGAATCCTCCCTTCCCTCCCCCCGGCGGCGTTCCAAGGGCTGGGAATGGTGTCTGGGGGGGGGCAGCACCCGGTGGGTACGTGGGAAAGCCAAGGGCCCATCCAAGCGTGGGGTCTCATTAGCAAATACAATGAACCCCCCCCAGATAATGGGGCCGGGTGGCAGCCGAAGTAGGTCACCCATCACCCGGCCCCGCTCTGTGCAGAACACGAGTGGCCCACCAGGGTCTGTGCCAGCACCCCCCCTCCCACAGACATCACCTCGGGGTGGGGGGACATGGGCATAGGGTGCCCCCGTTGTGGGACTGGCAGTCCCGGTGCCGTGCTTCCAGCCAGGAAGGGGAAAGTGATGCTTTTCCCCCAGCCATCGGTTGGAGAGCAGAATAATTCAGGGCAGAAACTCTGAATCCTGCTGTCAGAGCAGCCCCCATCCCCAGGCTCTGCTGATACAGCTCAGGACCCTCGTCCTGGGGGGGCTCAGCACTGCCTCGCTCCCCCAGGAAGGGATGCCTGAGCCCAGGGGATGCTGCCAGGCTGGCAGCTCCATAGGGAATGTGTGTTCCCAGGCTGGGATGAGTGAGGGAGCCTCCTTTGAGCAGAGCCAGCCCTGGTGAGGGGCTCTGAGGGGCTGCCCATGTGGAGGAGGCTCTGATCCCCCCCCTTCCCATCCCTCTCCTGCCAGCTCTGAACGAGAATTCCCTTTCAAGCCCTTTTATCAATTTTTCCCACAAAAGATCAGCCCTGTGCAAATTCATTACTGCAGGGATCAACGAATGTTTCCTTCCTCCCCTCTACAAAGCGGTTGATTTACTCAGAATAAACGGCAGGGGGGAAAAAAAAACCCACCAAAACCCACCTGCCCCAGCAGAGCTGTGGGAAGCCAAGGAGGGGAAGATTATATCGAGCTCCTGAGGACCAGACACGAATTGCACAGGCTGATAAAGCAGCTTAAGCACAGATGCTGAGACCAAGGCAGCGAGGAACAGACCCAAACACAACGCTGAGGAGGGGGAAGAGCCAGGGTGGCAAAGGGAGGCCACAGCACCCCGGGATCGCCACGGACAGGGGGGATGTCCATGGAGATGTCAGCAGTCACTGAGCCAAGGTAGGCAGTGCTGCCAGGAGCCATCTCCTGCACCACGGGGACCTGGGCCATGTCCCCATCATGGGATGCTCCTCCTGCTCAGCCCATCACCGGCACCGACCCCCCGCGTCCCCCGGCCCCACGTACCGCCGAGTTGAAGCGCAGGTGGCAGATGTTGCAGGAGATGAACTGCTTCTTCTTGAGCGGGGCCGGCACGCCGAAGGTGTGGCTGATCACCGCCTTCTGCACCGGGTCCATCTGCAAGGGAGGGAAGGCAGAGGGGGGCTGGGTGACAACGCCGTGACGGCCACCCCGGCACGGCACCGTGCCCCGGCCATGCCTGCGCCCGCCGCGCTGGCCGAGGAGCCACCGTGAGGACCGGCAGAGCTCTGACCCGGTGCCAGGGAGGAGCAGGGGCTGCGGTGGGTCCGGCACAGAGCAAAGTGCTGCGGTGATGCCCGTTCTTGGCCTTTTTAATCCATCCCTGAAAACCCCAAAGCGGCAGGGGCCAAACTCCCGCTGCGGTCCAGCAGAGGGGACGAGGCTGCTGCGGGGGCACAGACTGGTGACCCAGTCCTCCCTGCCCCTCACTGCCCACTCCGGTATCACAGATTTCAAATTATCAGTTTCTGAGCTCCCAGTTGCTGCCCTCAACCTCCCAGCGCCAGGACAGCTTCCCCAGACACTCAGCAGGAGCAGAAACCACCAGAACAGGGGGCAGAGGAGACAGAGACGAGCAACCAGCCACTAATCCTCCACGTGCTCTTGGTCAGGGAGCTGAAACCTCCCCGTGCAAAGCCGAGGGGGCGAGCAGAGCCCAGTGTGCCCAGTGCTTGCCCACAGACACCGCACAGCCCAGGCAGGAGCCTGGGGACTGGGGGGACAATAGTGCCCACAGCCATGGGCACCCGCTCCCAGCCGGGCGCGTGCTTCTCCTGCTCTAATCCAATTATGAGCCTAACGACTTGCAGCCCCGGGTACCACAGCAGGGCCGGGCAGGGGGACAGAAGGGCTGCGCTGCTCCGCCGTGAGCCGTGCCCGTCCCCGAGCCCGCGGAGCCGCCGGCGAGGCAGATGCTGGGGCTGATGACAGCGCTGCCCTCCCTGCCCAGGGCTCGGCGTCACTCCTCAGCCCAGGCAGCAAACTTGTTGGAAAAAACCATAATTGTTTTAAACAAAATGCATTTATTAAAGGAGGGGGGGGGTATGGAAAAAGAATAACCTCTTTGTTGGAGCGGGGCTATAATCTATAATGCGAGTATTGTTCCCCTACCCCGTGGCACAGGAAGATTATCTTATCTGAGTCCTGCTGTCAGCAGAGCCCTGGGTTTTCAGGCGATCGCATTTCTCTGCGGAGCTATTTGGTTGCCGAGACAGGTGCATCAGTCTTTGAGGCACATGCCTGGACAACGGAGCCATTATCCAGACCCCGGATTCCTTTCCAGGAGTGAGCAGAATGGTAAAAGCAGGTGATTAATGAAGTGCCTGTTCGCTACGAAATTTTACTCACTTATCTGGCCTAGGAACGAAGAGGCGGTTGGGGGGTTCGGCGGAGACCCCGGAGGAAGCTACAGATGGCAGAGATGCTGCTCCACCCCTGACGACAAACCTTGCCGCGTGTGCCACGGCAGCATCCCTGCGGTGCCAGCCTGCGGGCGGGCACGGGGCCGGCGCTCGTCTGCCAGAGATAAACCCGCCTTTTCCACGCAAAACAAAGAAAAAACGGCTCCAACCTTGGCAGCAAGGTCAGGGCGCAGCCTGCAGGGAGCTGTGCTGGGAGCCCAGCCCTGGGATTCTATGAATCACAGCACAGTTTGGGTGGGAAGGGACCTCAAAGCCCCCCCCAGTGCCACCCCCTGCCCTGGGCAGGGACACCTCCCACCAGCCCAGGTTGCTCCAACCTTGGCATTGAACCCTTACAAAGCTTGGATGCCACCCGAGAGGCCCTTGTGCTTCTCTCCCAGCGAAAAGACAAACCCACTGCCAACTTCTCCCCCCGGTGCAGGCACTGGCTGCTGTTTCAGGTATGAGAGAGACCCCCCCTCTCTCCCCCGGGGTCGGTGCCGCAGCGGTACCTACCGGTGCCCACAGCCAGGCGGGTGGAGGCTCTTCCAGCAGAATGGACTCAGCAGCAGAGGTTTTGGGCACCGCACACTTGGAGAATACTTATTGACTCACGTTACTCTATTTATCCCTGGATGTTCCTACCGATATAAATAGAGATCCCTGCGCTGAGCTCCCCGCCGGGGGTCAGAGACGGGGATTCAGGGACACAGCATCAGTTCAGCTGCGTCTCCTGCCGTGGTTCTGCTGGGTCCCGGGGATTTCCAACACCCCAGGTGCTGGAAAGGGCCCTTTGAGCACAAAGTGTTTCATTAGGGTTTGTTTTTTTCCCCCTGTTGTGGTTGATTTAAGTGGCAGGAGAGCTCAGCTTGGAAAGGTTTCTCTTGCTCTGGAGTAAAACATCTGCTGGGTTCATGAGAGCCTTGTGACCTGCTCAAAGTGCAAAGTGTTCTGCTGGGCGGCCACAAACAGCTCCTGCTCCCCGGGGCAGCACCGACTCCTGCACAGCGTCACCCGGGAGAAAAGACAACCCCC